CTTTGACCAAATGGAACTACATTGACATTCAGTCTAACATTACTATCACCTGAATGGACCCCTTTGTATCGAGAAGTCCCAGTACCTAACAAGAAAAGATTCTCCATTTAATGAGGACTTTTTCTAGCAGGTACTGCAGAAATAACATAAATGTCATCATACGCACCTGAGCTTGAGGGCACAGACTCTGTCCTTCCATAGCCCAGTTTCCCATCCACCAGTGAGCTGGCCTCTGCTTCATAGTTTTGACTGCTGCTTTCCTCAAGTGATGGTGTTGGTTTCGTGGAAGAAATTTCAACATCATTAGAGTAGTGGAGAGAAGAAATTTTGCTTACTTTAGGGTTGTAAGGCTTCAACATAGTGGTGTCCTTTGCATTTAATACATCTGCTGGTATAAGCGTTCCAGGAGCTGCCATTAGATCGACCAAAAACTCCCTGAAACAAACTACATGTTCATAACAATTCGTTTTGATATAAGTGTACACCCACTAAGTGAGCCTTTTAGGACCAGTTTGGTCTAGGGACAGATGGAGTGGCGTACAAATTAGAGAAAAATAATACGAACTACATTACCATAATAGTATATAATACGAATGACTCTTTTTACCCAGTTACTAAAATTCAAACTCACCATTAATGATAAAAATGAATGGAACAGGACAAGGATATACCTTTCATCCTCCAACTTTATGATGTTGACAGCATCTTCTTCAACACCAGTATAGTGACTACCTTTAACAAGCCTACAAGGCATCTTGATACCGTCAGCTAACACCTATATCCAGGGAAGAAAGGAGGTTCAAATAAAGTCAATAAAGCTTAAAATTATATATAAACGTATATATTACTAAAAACAGGTAAGCTAAAAAATTATCACCCAAGACAATTTTAGTTTCCCATAACCTTATTGAGGATTCTATAACCTTCTACTTCAGGAGTTACAAGGAAAAGAAACTAAACTTTTTCTGGTTCCTTATATTGACAGTAAAACCACGTGCTTTATTACACTTGACAAACCATCTCTCATAATATAGCTCTAACATAAACCACCATGATTCCTCTGATGCTAAAAATCTTCAATAAAGAATGATTGCATTATATTACAGATGTTTGAGAGAGTTTTTTACAACCAACCTTGAAAAGCAATGCACGGTGTCTTGAGAGGCCAATATTAATGGAACCAATAGGCAACACACTTGTGTGAAGAGAAGTTCTTAACTCTGTGCTTCTTTCCATCCACCTAGCTAGCATAAAATTGGCGTCCTTTACAGGCCCGCCCATGTGTCCCATAATGAGCTCAGCAAGCCTCTGAACCAAAACTCTCACCTCAGTGCCAGGGCAATCTGCAATACATTGAGCAATTTGCACTAGCTCTTCTAGTGCAGAATCAACAGTCATATTGACCATTACAACTTCAAAGCCAGAACTACCAAAGCTTGCTTCAATATCAGATAGAGATGGAATTTTTCCTTGGACTGTTGAATCCGTAGAGAGGACATCATAAAACCCATTGACAACTTTTTCTCCATAGTCAAGGAGATTATATTCCTTAAAATGCAATAAAATTAATATTAGATAAGGAATGAATAGTCCTACAGAGTAGAGTAACAAGAAAAATAATATCAAAGCAACGTGAAAAGGCAAACATCTAATAAGGCTGTGGAAATTCCAGCTCTATCAGTGTATATTTTACAAGATATTGAAGCAGTAGCTACCTCCTGGATTGACTAGATAGTGTCGCTAAAATAAGGAGCAACTAGTGTTCTTAAATATAAGTTTATTAAACCAATTCATTGCTCACATTTTGCTTGAAATATGCTTCTTTAACACTTCTCTAATATATTTGTTTCCAAAGGTGATATTTCCCCATGAACCAGACAACTCTGCAATTATGCAGGTGCCTGATGGTTTTTGTGCAAGATAATTTTTAATTTCAGTTCTTGACATAGTTAGTCTAAACTAATAGAAACGACAGTCGTAATAAATCTATTCCTGATATGAATCATCTCAGACACGATGCAAATGCAGGGGGGAAAAGGATATACTGTATTCTTGTCTACAAATCTGATGCACCAGATGATGACAAACCGGAATCCCTCTGTTTCAACTCAATATGCTTATAGTGTAAAATTGATAAAAATGCAGCGCTAAAATACGACTATAAATGACCAGGTTTCGCGCACTTAGCCACAAAATAGTAGGTTGCCTAGTACAATGGGATCAGATACATAACTATTGGTTATTAGAGCACAAAGATTTAGTTTTCATCTCATTGGTTTTGTTCAATTTATCGAAAAAGAAAAGTTGGTCGAATGAACTCCCAAAAAAGCAAGAAGCTCACCCAATATTGCCGCGAAAGCGCCTCGGCAGCATCTACCTGGTCCCTGGAAGTGGAATCAATCCGATGATTTCCCAAGCTCAAAAGTGTTGCAGCTCGAATTTGATCCTTCTCCGGATCATCCCGGAAGTCGGAATTCGAGGCGCTAATAGCTAGGGCAAGCTGAACCTGAAACTCTTCCTCTGAAGAAAAGTAGTCAGACCGATTAGGAGCTACCGAAACCGAAGCCGTGCTTCCGCCCACTGGGGGAGTTGTTGCCAGCGACGGAGACGGCGACGGCGACGACGAAGGACTCGACGTAGAGTTGCCGGAAATCTGCCCCGGAGCAGTTGCAGGACGATTATCTGACGACGACGCTGCTCCAGGCAACGGATTCTCATTGGGCCGATTCGGCTCGTGATTGCTTCCAATATGAAACTTCTTGAAAATATGTTTCATCCCTTCCTTCTCCTATCTCTCTTTCCCCCACTGTCCCTCCGTATCCTTCACTTTCCTCACTTTCCCCGACACTCTCTCTCACTCACTCCCCAGATCAATCGACTTCAAATTCTCTCTCTAAAACCACCGATCCTCCTTCTCTCTTCCTTCAGAAGCGCTTCTAAATTCTCTCTCTGTTTGCTGCTGCTTTTCTTCGTTACGACGGTCAAGATGAAAATGGTTGGGAGGGAAGATGATTTTACGCGTGTAGGAAAAATACACACCAACAGTCGTCTTTCTGGACAACCTCCTCCTTATACATAGAGGGGTAAGGAACCGAAGACCGACCCGGCTCGAATTGATTCGGTAAAAGTTAATTCAGGCCGAACCGAACCGAAGTGCTCAAAGAGTTTGCTCTTTTGACCGACTATACACACATGTATTATGATGTACAAAAGCTTCGAATTGAAATACACTTAGACTAATTGGTTTACACTAACGCGTTATGTTACATAAGAACCCTACTTACTACGGAAACTCACAGACTAGGTGATAATTGAACATCTACCGACTGTACCACTGTTATGTTGCATGCATGGACAACCCTCTAGTGACGAACGGTCTATCTTGACAAGGTAATTCATGAAAAACATTTATGCTAACCAACCCGCTCTAATGCCTACATGAGTCATTCCTGCACTATCAGGTAACGTAAAAGGTCAGATGTCTCTACAATCAAGTTAGGCATTCCCAACACAATACCTCATGAAAAATATTTTGAGAAAATATATACGAGAGTGACCCAAGGCTAAATCTGTTAGTTGAACACGACTCTCCACAATTGTCCACTTTGAGCATAAGCTCTCATGGTTTTGAGTATGCATGACTAAGTGATAAGGGAACCCTAATCCTCAGCCCGATGATCCAGACTTTTGTTGAAGCAAGAACCCTTGAATTAAAAGTAATTAACACCTCCTCATACGAATTTTGGATCAACCAAGAGATAAGGCTACAACTAGATTACCTCTTACTCTTACGATTGAAGATCTAGAAGCAAGATTTGGAATTTTGGTTTTACTCTTACGATTGAAGATCTAGGAGCAAGATTTGAAATTTTGGATCAACCAAAAGATAAGGTTAGAACTAGATTACTTCTTAGAGATAAGGCTAGAACTAGATTGCCTTTTAGAGATAAGGCTGGAACTAGATTACCTCTTACTCTTACGATTGAAGATTTAGAAGCAAGATTTGGAATTTTGGATCAACCAAGAGAGGCTAGAACTAAATTACCTTTTACTCTTACGATTGAAGATCTATAAGCAAGATTTTGAAACCTTGTTCTAAATTGAGTCACTCCACAATCTCCATAAAGAATAAGGTTTTTTACATTTACATAACATATTGTGGGTATTTATAGTCTCCAGACAAAAGACGTTTGTGGACGGTATTTCTCGGGTATTTTCCGATATGTTGTTGACATATTTTTTTGTAGTTAACTCTCATTGCTTTGCTTCGGGCTTCCTCAAAATATCTCATATCAATAGAGATAATATTTATTGATTATAAACTCATGATCATTCACTAAATTAGTCGGTGCGAGACTTTCATCATCTAATAAAACTAACTATGTTACTAATCTGGGTCGGTAGGCAAAACACCATTAGAAATTAGTTGGTGACCCTAGAGCAAAAGTATATCTATTACACGTAGCATGTCATTGAAATATACACAATATTAAGGGAAATGTAATCGTCACAAGCAATCTAACGAACTAAAGAATAAATATACATGACTAAAGTCTCAACGACGACTTTGCTAAGGACTAAAATAATTCAAAATTAGTCCGCTTAATAACCCGACCCTCTAACCACCGTTGTAGGTTGCAATCTCAAAAGATTAATAAAAATTGTTAATATGAACAAATCATTCCATACTCACATTTGCATTCCAAGGTTCCACCAAACTATTTTATCCAAACTTTGATGAAATTAATAATAATATTTAAATTAAAACTAATTTAGTTGTTTAAAATTGATGCTTTTAATTACATATAAATGGATGAGTGAAATTTAGTTGTTATTATTATTATTTATTTATTTTTAATTCGTTTATAAAATGTAGGAGACGTCTTAAAACAGAAAAGCCCACACGTATGGGCTTCAGGTCCAAAGGCATTTCAGTTCACACGTGTCAATCCCACGTGCAAAAGTCTCTCTCCCCTACCGTGCTTCTCCGTCTTTCACTGTTTTCACCTGCTTGCCATTTCTCGGTAGAGATCTATTGTTCTCCCTTTCGTGGATTACTTCATCCGATCTCATAGCTCGTTTGATCTCTAGCAGTTCGCTTTGAAATGATACAACCTGCATTTGGTCACTGACAGATTCACACTCCGTAGCTTTTGTCATGGCTTTCATGGCTGTTCTGGAATCTGATCTTCGCGCACTGTCCGTTGAAGCTCGCCGCCGTCACCCGGCCGTCAAAGATGGAGCTGAGCACGCTATTTTAAAGGTCCAACTTCATTATTGCTCTTATACGAAGTATGAACTGTGGGTTTAATTGGCATCATGGTAGAGGTGTTATTGTATACGTTGATGTTCAATCTTAATAGCTAATTGGAACCCGTCTGAGTTGAAATTCTTGTTTGTAATGCTATAATTTGCTGCTGCTTGGTTGCTGTGTAATGAAGGACATAAAGAAATGAAGAGTGTTAAATTCTTGTTCCGAAAATATTTTGTTCTCTGTGTTTGTGGGTGTGGGTTCGGGGCTAGTTTCTAGAGAAATGGGCCTTTTCTTCAGTTTCTCATGCTGCGAGATAAACTTCAACTTCTTTTTGGTTGAATGAAATTCCTTGCTAGTGGGTTGCGTAAAGTATGGATGCTGCAACAAAATTCTTTATCCATGCTTCGAGATATTAGACTGTAGCGAATTTGGTTGCAGAGTGTTGGGAATGTCCTGCATTTGACATTCATCTTCTTCATTTTTTTTTTGTTGATGTGCAGCTTCGATCGATGATGAGTCCCAGTGATATTGCAGAAAATGAAGACATTTTACGAATTTTTTTGTTGGCATGCGAAGCCAAAACTATAAAATTGAGTGTCATTGGGCTTTCGTCTCTACAAAAGCTCATATCTCATGATGCAGTCAGTCCTTCTGCCTTGAAAGAAATACTCTCTACCCTGAAAGATGTAAGTTTTTAATAGTAGTCACTGTGACTGCTTTTAAGTGTTAAGATAAATTACAAATTTCATTGACTTAATTTGATCGACTACTTTTGTTCCAGTAAGGTCTAAATACTGCTAATTGTGTTTTCATAAACGCTTGTTTGGGTTGATCAGCTACCTTTGTTATGTTAAGCTAGTTCCAGTTAGCTTTATGATTTTTGATAACAAAATCTAAGTCTGCAGTTAACTAATACCAATTGAAACATAAGTTGCCTTTACTCTTCTGGCACCCAAAGAGTTGTTCTCTTCTCTTTGCGCTAGTGGTTCCCGGTTCTCATCCAATTGATACGTAAGTAGCCAATGATAAATAACCCAGACTTTGAGGTCATATTCCATTTTTTCTTTTGATAAGCCATCCCTGCCCCCGTCCCATCTTGATAACACACCTAATTCATATTTGCTAGTTAGTTTTATTATTTTTTTATTCTTTTATTTCTCTAATTTCTCTCTCAATTGAAGATTGTAGCACTGAATGGCCGAATATGTACCTAGGATTACCCTTAATTGGGAACCACAAATCCTTCTCCTTCTGGAAGACTATTATTGAAAACATAGACAGAAGGCTATCAACATGGTCATCATTTTATGCTTCTAAAAGCGAAAGGCTCACCCTGATACAAGCCACACTATCCAACCTTCCCACGTTACATATCTCTATTCGAAATGCCACAAAAGGTGGCTACGAATATAGAAAGATTATTCAGAAACTATTTGTGAAAAGATGACCTACATCTTGTTTGATGGAATATCACAATCCTACTAGTAAACAAGGGAGGACTTGGCCTATTTTCAATGAAGGAGAAGAACAAAGCTCTCATCACCAAATGGATATGGATACATTATCATGGAGACAACGCCTTGTGGAGAAAACTTATAAAGGCTAAATATACTCCTATATCATGTACAAATCAACCCCCTCCATCTTCTGCAAAGGAGCCATGGAAGTACTAAAAAAGCACCAAAACCTCATCACCAACCGCATTTGCCACAGAGTGAGTGATGGTGGAAGCACATCTTTCTGGATTGACTCTTTAATTGAAAACACCATGCTAGCCTTACAATATCCACTTATGTATAGATCCTATCATATTAGAACGATCACAATCAAAGAAAGATGGAATGATGTCAACAAATTTGGAGACCTGAAGCTTGGTAGGAACCTAAAGGATAACAAAGCTACGAAAATGGGTTGAATTAAGCGTACTTTGCCCCAATTGTATTGTCAAAAGAAGCTGGCTTATTGAAATGGCTTCCTAGTGCTCATAGGATCTTCTCTACAAAATCTTTGATGATGGACAAAGGGAAAAAGTATAAGTAATAAACCCCATGCTAGCAAAGACAATATGGAAAGGAGATCACCCTAAAAAGGTGAAGTCTTTCCAATGGAAAATAACACACAAAGGCATTAAAGTGAAATCTACAAAAAAAGAATGCCCTATATTTCTCTATTTCTAAGTTGGTGCTCATTATGCAAGAAAGACAACAAATTACAAAACCACTTATACATGTAATTTACAAATGCTCAAAATTTCTGGACAAGGATTCTCAATATCTTCCGTTGACGTCTAACTTTTCCTAGAAAGGTAAAAGATTTATTGGATAGGGCTTTAACGTTCCACTCATTCAAGAACGTAAAAGCCTTCCATGGAAAAAATTCATTACTGCTTTCATTCGGAATCTATAGAAAGTAGGAAACTGAATACTAAAAGTCAGACTTATATGAAGCTCTTTGACAATGTTGTTAACCATGCTATTTCGTGGTGTAAATTGTTCAACACTTTTGCTTCCTATAGTCATACGTCCATCATAGTAAATTGATTTTTTTTTTGTAAACATCATGGATAACACATCCCTTTTGTAAAATTCAAACCTTAATGAAATTGTCTCTTACCCAAAAAAAAAAAAAAAAAAAAAAAAAAAAAAAAAAAAAAAAAAAAAAAAAAAAAAAAAA